GCTCAGTGATGTGCAATGCAGTAGGAGGGTAGAGACTAAGATGCTATATATTAGGAAGCAGTTCTCTAACTTTCCCATAGAACAGCATGGATTTGGTAAACAAAATCTGGAACAGAACTCTAATATGTAAAGCAGAGAAGAGTAATATTTTATTTATGTAAACCCACTTTACCCTAAAATTGGCATATACCTATTAAATGGCTAGTCAGTCAAACACACTAAGAAACCTTGTCTTTGACAAAACAGCCACACATGTTCATTGGAAGAAAGACAGCCTCTTTAATAAGTGGTATTGGAAAAGCTGGCTCTCCATACGCCAAAAACTAACACCAGACCCATGTCTATCACCATGCACTAAAGTCAAAATGGATCAAAGATATAAATATTAAGACAAAAATACTAATCCTACTAGAAGGCGAAGTAGGTAGAAGTCTTAAGGATATAGGGGTAGGTCAAGAGTTTATGAATAAAAATCAAACTTCACAAGAAGTACTTCAAAGAGACAACTGGAATTTCATCTTCCTAAAAAGGTTTTTATTGAGGGGTTAATGAGAATGAAACTCATGACCTCGCACTTGCCAGGCAGGCAATGTGCCACTGAGCTATATTCACAGCCTCTAAAAAACTTTTTTTTCATATGGAAAGAAATCACCAATGATGTGAAAAGAAAATTCACAGATTGGGAAAAGAGTTTTGCCAACTGTTCCTTGAACAAAGGACTTTTATATGGAATGTAAAGAACTGAAAAAAAATCAGGTCCCCCAAAGTTAAAGACCCAATCCCAAAACAAGCATCTGAGATGAATATACAATACTCAGATGAAAAATACAAATGGCAAATAAATATATGAAAATGTTCAACACATTGATCATTCAAGAAATGCAAATTCAAACAACACTGAGATATCATCTCACTCCAAAAAGGATGGTTAACATCAAGAAATTAACCAATAACAATTGCCAGTGGGACTGTGGGAGAAATGGAACCCTTCTTCATTGTTGGTAGGTTTGTAGACTGGTACAACCACTGTGGAAATCAGTGTGGGAATTTCTCAAAAAACTAAGATTAGTGGTTTCATTTGACCCAGATATTCTTATTTTGGGTATTTTCCCAGAAGAACTGAAAATAACATACTATATCAATATATGCGTACCCACGTTTATAGCAGCAGAATTCTTAATAGCTAAGTCATGGGAACAACCTAAATGCCCATCAATGAAGGAATGGATAAAAAAAGATATTTTTTTTAAATAATGGAATAGTACTCAGTAATAAAGAATGATAAGCTTGAGGCTTTTATAAATAAATGGATGCAATTAGACCATACTCACAAGTGAAATGAATCAGACTTGTGTGTGTAAACTCTGTATTGTTTTGCTAGTGTAGAAACTGAAAAAAGTAATTAAGATTTGAAAATTAGAATAGATACAGTAAAAGGGAAAGAAACTAACTCAAAGGGGAATTATATTGTTTGATCAGTCTTAAATGCCTGTATCTGAGCAATTACTATGAGGATAATGGTATGCAATATACCAACCATTGTTAAATTCCTATCATCTTGTTTTGAAATCCTGTATTGCATTTTTTGTTGCTCTTGTTGTCATCATTTTGCTTTTGTTATTGTTTATTAATTGTTAGTTGACTACTTGATTTTTCTGTTTTCTTCTCTTCATAATAAATAAGTAAATAAATAAATAAATGATTAGTCAGTGACACAATCAGTTAGCTCATTGGAGATCCCTAGTACTTTGAATTGTCACTTGACTGTGCTTTCATTTCTTTTAAATTAGTATTCTAAAAATATTTGAGATTTATTTCTATCTTTACTTTTATATTCATATGAAATATGGAGAAAATCAGTACACACCTTGGGGAAACCATTGTTAAAAGCTACTCTTTAAGGTTTATAAATCACCACACAATTAATCATCATAAGGTCAAAAGATCACTCCACATTCTTTTTTGTACAAAACATTATTCTATTGAAAATTACTTGATATGACTCAGTTATTTGGGAAATAGTCTTGAGGTATCATAGAGTTCAGGTGAATCAGAAGAAATACCTACTTCAAGTTCTCTGAATTCTAAACCATCATTGGGTACTTTAAGCTGAACAACAATACTCCTAGGCTTAGCACTCCACGTGTGGGTCCAAGCTCCATAACTTGCTAACAGTATGAGCTTGGAAGAGTTGCTTAGTTTCTCCAGCCTTGAGTTTTTCCCCTGTAAGTAGGAATCAAAAGACTTGTAGTTATTTTACAATGGTTTTGAGAAGCAAATAAAAGTGATGTAAATAGAGCATTACTTATATAATGGCATGACCTACAGTAAGTAATGAATGAATTTTGGGTTTTATATTTATTACTGTGTCTCTACAACAGGAAATTGGGCATGCTACTAGGGTATCAAAAGATCCTTGAGAAATGATTTTTAATATGCAAACAGTCTCATCAATATGAGAATTTGGAAATAAACATGAAAAGTAAAATAGCAGTAAAAACCAACACAAAGTCAAGACTAGATGAATAATAAAGACAGTGTGCTACATTCACAAGAGTAAGACATTTCATCTTAGACTTCATGGTCCTATCAACGTGTATAACACAAGTTGTAGATCTTGGATCTGTGAGATACGTTTGAGCTGCTAAAATGAAAATATTGGTAAATAATTGTTAGAAAGATCTTGAGTCACCGTTTAGTGTCAGAATATTTCAAATAAATATCCAGATATCATTTTTTTCTTTTTTAGCCAAGAGACTTCACACTGCTTGTTAATAGTCACTTTGGACCTAGCTGAGATTGCTTCGATTACAAAAGTGGATCATCTGTCTGATCTGTTACAGCACTCATCAGCCCTTGTTGCTTCTCTGATACTGTGATTAATTACACTTACCTAATCATGCTGCCTATGTCTGCTGCTGCTGTTGCTTTTCAACGTTGGGCGATGCTCCTTCTACCTCTTTGCCTATGTGCGGAAGTAAAGACTATTACTTGCTTCCATGCAAACAAATGTCTCTTATATCTGGTTTGCTTTACTCACTTATGTTATCTTTCTCTTGTCTAGCCTTGTGATTCTGTATTCTGAATGATTTACAAAGATTTGGATACGCAATGACAAAGAATATTTCATTACTAGAATATGTACAAGGAAGTAAATGATATAGGGACAAAAAACAAATATGACAGGGGTCAGTGGTAGTGTTAGATGATACTTCATAGAGTAAAGCAGGTCTTAAAGGAAGCATGAGTCCTTGGGCTAAGAGGATGATTGGACAGGTAAATGCCTAAGTTGTAAAACATAGTGCTTATCTAGTGACCCTCCATGTACTTTGGTCTTCAGTTATAATCACATCATTACTTGTTTAACTATTTTCCGTGGTTTCTCACAGTCATCAAGATAAAATGCAGGACTAGGGATGTAGCTCAGTGGTGGGATGTGTGCTCAGTATGCACAAACACTTCAGTCAGGTTCCCAGAGCAAGCTGCACAGACATAGACACTAACGCACACACACCACCACCACCACCACCACTACCACACAAATTTCAAACTCTTCAGGTTGACTTATGAAATTCTTTCTGAATTGGTCCCTCCATTGCCTTCCTAGGGCACCCAAATCCCCAAAATTGGCCACAGGGAAGGAGGTGAGCTCGGTGATTGGCTGTTGCATCAGAGTACCAGGCAGTCTTGGATTCTGAACACACTGTTTGCTCAGATTACTCCCAGCTGCATCCCTCTTCTAAGAAAGCTCCTCCAATACTGTCTCCCTCCAAGGCTGAGTTTACCTAACACAGTGATCAGCATGGCATCTTTACGTGTGTGCTCCTTGAGTTTTTGTAGACCATTCACTTGTGGCCTTCAATGGATTCACTGTGTTGACCAAGGGGGTCAGAGTCCATCCCTGGGAGGAAATCATGGCAGGACTTGTTATCCCTGAGGCAGAGAGTCTCTTCATAACCTAGGAGACCATAGAAGAATCTTTCTCTTTTATCTTTTTTTGGAAGGGGCACAAGGCTAAAGCAAGGGGTCCCTTTTCTTGGGGCATGTTAACCCATCATGAACTTTTCTGAAATTCCAGAGCTCTCCGCATTGTGCAGATTCCTAGTAGCATACATCTTCACGCATCACTCCATCCACATTCCAGCTGTCATACTTCAGTCTTTGCTTCCATCCTCATTTTCACGGAGGTATTGCTCAGCCCCCTTCCGCTCCTTTTCCGTAAAAGATTCTCTGGAAATTAGCTTTTTGTTATTTTACTCATTTTGTTGAAAACTGCAGGGTGTGACAATGGAGAGGGTTCTACATACAACAGAACATGCTATCTGTACCTAAAACTCCATAATATTCATCTTATTCTTTAGTGGTTGTTAGGGTATATCTGTGAGCAAACCCTGTTCCCTTTCTAATTGGAAATAGGGTTTTGGTAATGAATAAAATGACATTTCTACATCAAAAATATATGTTGACCCTGAGTCCTACCCTTTATATATTTCCCTCCATCTGCCTTCATTGTACCTTTACCATGGTCCAGAATGAGTTTATCTTCTACAAGACAGATTTCCAAATCTGTCGCATAGTCCTGTCTTTTGAGTAGAGTGTTCTCAGTTCCTTATTCAGAGTTAGAGTTCTGAGTGGACTGTGAGATTTTCATTGCAATATTTTCTAGAGTTTTTATGTGAAAACCTTTTTTTCAAGGTTACTCTAAATTACGTTTTAGGGTAAAACCTTTGAAATCTAAATTTTCTGTCACCTTCAAGTGCATAAACATTTTGGGAGACAAGTAAAATGGGTTATTATACCTGACTTATTTATTCAAAGTAAGAAACAGGTCACAGCCTTTTTATTTAAGCTGATCATCTTAATTATATCTTTTGGATACAAGTATTTGCAATGTTTTCTGCGGTTTGGGTGTAATTTCCTGCCAGTGGGGGATGTGGAGGCGGAGGGAAGAGGAGGGGCTGCTGAGCTTGAGCATCAAATTCTTCAGTCCAGCTGCTCTCTGTTAAGTGTCAGTGACCTTACTCAGCAGTCCCCAGACTGGTCAAGGTCCTTGTAATGAGAAAACCAAATTACAGGTACGTAATTTTCACAGTTTTCTGCCAGGATCTCCAAGCTGGTGACAAATTGATATACTACTGTCTGTGTGAAAGGCTGCTTTCAGAACGCAGGCCACTGGGCTGAAATACTATAGCTAAAGGATTTTGCAATTTCAAGCCTCTGAGATATTTTTATAAAAAAAAAAAAAAAAAAAAAAAGAAACCTTCACCCAACTCCCTTGTAGAGTGCTAAACTGTAGAACATATTTGTTTCAGCGTAGAGAACCTTGCCAAAATGACAAAATGTGAGAAAATAATCTTCAGGCACCAGGGACCAAGAGATCACAAAAAAGCAACCAACCTTGAGAGATGGTGTATATCTTGGGATTCGAATCTCAAATGGTGAATTTGTTAGGCATTTCTCTCTCTAACTTTTAAATGTTGACAGTTAGGCAATAACTCCCTTAATGTCACGCACGTTTCTGCAAAGTAATTTTCTAAAATAATAAAAGCAGTTACTTTAATAGTAACATAACATTTGCTAGTTTTCCTTTGTCAGGTTCAGCTCTGGACACTTCCTCTGCAGGCATCCAGTCACCCTTTTCATTACTGTGCCCATCTTACAAGTGAAAAGACTCAGGCGCAGAAGGAAATTGTCTGGCTATTGTCTGCACAGCCAGTGAAGGCCAGGACCAGTAGTCACAGAGGTAACTGTCTCCAGGGCTCTCTCTGTCAGTCACAGAACTGGATCTGTTCTAGATACACAGTCATTTCCTGTAGGAGCAAAGGCATTATTGGTTGGTATGTTTCTGACAAGAACTGAGCCTTTTGCAGAAACAAATACTAGATGAATATTTAAAAAGTGAACCTATAACTAAATGGATCTTTTCTCAGTAAAAATAGTAAATAGTCAAACCGAAGTCTTAGGCACTCTCAAATTGTCTTTATCCCTGGATTCTCCACTGGGTTACAGGCCAACCATGAGAATCTGTATTTCTAACATTTTTGCAGATGATTTAAATGCACATATCCATTAGGAAATCACTGAACTAAGTTTCGTGTTTGAACACATATTGAGCTTCAACTATTTGCTGGATAAATATAAGTAAAAACAGCCATGACCTCAAGGTACTTAAAAAAGTCAAGGTTTGCATGTGTTGGAGGGAAATAAGAAAATAAACAGCTATAATAAGTTATAATAAAAGTCTCTGACTGATCAAAGAAGGTGATAACATTACCAAGAAAAGAAAAAAAGCTAGAACCAGAAAATGTAAAGAGGAGAAGACCTTTAGGCTGAAAGACATTGGATGGGATATTTTTTCAGGAAAAGGAGGTTGGAAGAAGGGCAGGGAGGGTTTTGCTGGACACGTGGCATACATCCACTGAACAATCACCACTTGCTACCTATTTCCATGTATTAGATATCATATTATGTGGGGGGCAAAACACAGAGGAGAAAGAGGCGGGGTGAAAGTGTGTGGTCTGCTCCAGGTCCTGTGAGTTGCAGTTCTGCTTGGGTTGGCCACCAGGTAAGAGCAGGACTGTTGCAGAAGTCACAGATTGTTTCCTGCAGGCGCACTCTCAGCTGGTACCTATGGGCAGGGTGTGTATTAGGAATGTCCTCGTGAATGACACTCAAAAAAGGAGAGCAGGCAAGATCTGGACTAGCAGATGCTGCGTTTCCCTGCAGTTTCTACACGGTCACAGTGGATCCCATTGGAAGCTCTGGGTCTAGGATACCAAAAAGAGGAAGCAGAATTTTAAGAACCATTGCATTTAAAAGAAAAATAAATTTTTCCAAAAAGGGTAACCAGCTCATTTTGAAGTAGGCCATTTACTATGTTCTTGATACTTTTCTAAATATATATTCTAAATACATATTCTATGTATATAGTGTGTAAACAACCTCATTTATTATCATTTTCCTCTTGGTTCCACCCACTATTCAATGAGCTGTGTGCACACACAGCCCTTGTCCTTATCTCACCAGTGAAGATTAAAGACCCTGGTGTCTTGGGTTCCCCAGCTGGAAGGAGAGAGCTTGGCCTTGAATCCTCACATCCTGGCCCCTGAACGCTCTTACTCAGCAGCTAAAATACATTTAGAATGACTTTGGTCTACAGTGACTTCTGTTGCTCTGTCCCGAACGTCTATACAATGAAATACAACGTAATCCTCCTGCCTAGAGGGAAGGGAGTTCACATAAGGAGGTGCAGCTTTCTGCTCTGCTGCTGGGCTTTGGCAGCGGTTCTTGACTCAGTCTGGACCTTCATGTCTCGACTCTAGCGCCACCTTCCACAAATGGAGCGACAGTTTTTTCTTTAAATTCCTGTTACTAACTTACCTCCATTTTGTCTTCTTATGTTTCTCCCTCCCCCTTGACCCCTCATGCTTATGTATCTATATAAAACTAATAAAAATTTGAACAGGAAATATAAAATCACCATGAAACCAAACCAAACCTGCAGCAAGACCTCGGAGGGCCCCATGCAATCAGAGCTGTGTGAAACTATTTTCTAGGAGCTGTAAACCTAATAGCTTGCTCTGTTTAAGGCACAGCTGCAAAGCTCCTGGGACAGATATGCCCCTTGTTGGAAAACAGAAGGCTTGTAAAATTATTTTCACAAAATTTTTCCCTTTAATATTTTCCTGGCTACCTCAGGCACTCCTTTGCCTCTTGCCCCACTTAGCTAAGTAACTGGAATGTGGGAGGTGTAATGGTGATGGAATACTAATTTTTCTGTTTACTTATTTATTTATTTATTAATTATTGATGAATAGCAAATTATTGGTACAATATCTTCTACTCTTTTTCCTACAGTAGTTAAAAGGGTTCTTTTCCTTTCTTGTAAATTTCATAGTGTGTGTGTATATATATTTAGTGCAGGAAAATTGTCCTATGTCTGTGGCCCTCACTCCACCACAAAAACAGTCTATTTCTTGAAGAGACACTGTTATATGTTTATATACAAGGTGGCCTTGCTGCTGGTGTGTACCAGGATGCCCTCTCCTCACCCCACATAGATACGGCTCTTTTGCCTGTGCAAAAGTCCGTTCTTTTTCAACCTTACATTTCTGTACAATTCCCTGTGTTTGGGAGATGAGAGATATCTTTTGGTTAGTGCTCCTTAGTCTAATGTTGTGCTGAGAAGGATTAGATACTGCTTTGGCTTTGCTTGTATTTTCATTTTCTTAGGCGCTAAAGATTTGGAATCAGCCACAGACAGGTTTGCATCATGTTTGTCCAATTACTACATCTATGAGGTAGCTGTGAATGAACCATTCAATCTTTCCTGCACTTGGTCTCTTCAGATATACAATGTATTCAATACTACACATCATCTTAATAAGGATTTATCATGCTGCCAATCCCTGTCCACATATTAATTTATTTAGTCTTTATATCCCTATAAAAGAGATACAATTAAAATCCTGTTTTACAAATGAAGAGAAAAGGAGGTAAACATCATACCCCAGGTCATTAACGTGGTAAAGAAAGATCTGGAATTCACTCATGGGTGTTATGATTTGGGTTTCACTTTAAGTAGCAGCGTCACAGCTACAAACTGCACAGCTGTCAAAGATAAGGGTCTGGGGCCTGCTGACGTCCAGGACATGACTCTGAGACAGAGAGTGGTAAATGTTGCTTTTACTTCATTTATGCACTTACATCTGTAATACTGTTTCTTTTGCTTCTTGGTTTACACCAACACTGAAATTTCTGGCTTTTTGTTATCTTCGTAGAAAATTTAGTTACATTATCGTGAATCTATTACCTTCTGGATGCGTCTTCCAAAGATGGAGAAAGGAGAGCTAAGAAAGAATGTGGATAAGGCAGAAGGAATTGAAGATCTAAATCTGCATTTAACCACAAGAACTCTCCCATTCACTCTCCAACTCTTTCCATTGCCCCTGATCTCTATCCAACACGGAGGAAATAGAAATATGAAGTCTATTAAAATTGTCGTAACAGTGCTGTTGCTCACCAAAAATACAATATAATAGACTTACGACTTTACCTCATTAGCAGCAGTATAAGCCCCATATCCTTAGAGGAGAGGGTCTCCAGTTGCATCAGTGTTCCCAGAGATACTGGGGAATTAGGGTTCTGGGACCGACCCCAGACCCACTGAGCTAGAAGCGCTGGAAGATGGTGAAGGCTCTCTTTCAATTCATGCTCAAATTTGATAATAATGGTGGAGACGGTGGAAGACAGCAAACTGTAGCCACAAGCTAAAGGCAGCCCACTACTTGTTTTTTATACAGTTTTATTTAAATACAGCCATACCCATCTATTTTCAGATGGCCTATGGCTACTTTTATAACACAGTCAAAGCTTGCATGGTTGCAGACTTATGGCTGTCAAAGCTAAAAATATTTACTATTTCTAGAATTTTATAGAAAAATATCTTCTGACCCTCACCTTGGAGAATCACAGAAACAGAGGGTTTTGAGTCAGTCACTTGGAAGTGCTCCTGTCACCTAGATGCTTTTTGACCTCAGGAAAATTTTTCTGTGTTGTTTAACTTCTTCCTCCACTTGGAGTAGGAATAACCGATCTACTTTTAAAATTGTAATGATGAGTTAGTACACACAGACATGCGCAGAATTCTTAGCACCTAAAAATTGCTTAGTGAGTAGAAATTGCTGTTATCAAGACAACATTAAATAAAATTTTCTGTTAGTTTACAGAAGTCTGAAGAAAAGTAAAGGCCAAAATATTTGATTTATCAATTAAACTGTTTAGTGCAATAAAGAACAGTCAAAATGTTTAGTCTAACAATTCTTCAGCTGGAAATACAACTTTTAAAAGTTGTTATGTGCTCAGGTTGACACTTCAGTTTTAAAATGTTTTATATGCTAAATGCCTTCGATCTTGATTACATCTAAATAATAAAGAAAAATATTCACTTCTTCATACTTCTAAATTTTTGAAGTCTTAATTGGTGATTTCATTTTGATGACAAACATAGTAGAAGATATTTTTGGAAAAGAGACATTAATTAAAGTATAATTTACACTTGGCAATTTTTCTTCTCCATTATGGATATTAGGGACTTGATGTGAATAGGATAAACAAGAACAAGAACTAACATTCACATCACGGTGTTTATATACTTTGTATTATTTGCTGTAATATATGTATGCATGGCATATTTACATTTTATGTGCACCAAAATGTGGGGTTAAACCTGTATAACTAGTGTTTCCATTTTTTGTTACTTTACTTAGACATTTAAATTATTATTATTACATTTAAATTACTATTATTATGATTTTGTGGGATGATCAAGCTCAACTGATCAGTTTTCTATTCCACATGGTAGAGTTGAGGTCTCAGTCCTGTATCTTTATTTAGGTGGAATTTTATGGGGGCTGGGACTTCCCAGATAATCACTCCCTTCCCAGATCCTCACTCTACATGAAGTCTCAGTACTCAATAGTCATCCTTTGGAATAATTGCCTTCAAAGGTGAGATATTACTAGAAGATAATCTATGTGAATCATTTTCAAGCCTCTGTTTGCATTAGGCTGATTGATGCAGGTCCCATTTGCTAGCACCAGTCCTGTGTCCAAACCTAGTATCAATGTGAAAGGAACTTGAATGTACAAGTGTGTGAAGTCCCGGAGGCTTGCCTATTGGGGGTGACCAACGCTCCAGTCAACCAAAATTTCTGAATAATGAGAATTTAGTGAATCTTGAAGA